CAGTCCGCTTCCATAGAGATTTACAGCCTTGGAAACCCTATTGGGTCGCTATGAGTCGGCATTGAATCAACGGCAGTGGGTGGGAGAGGCTATTGACGTGACTGAGTATGGAGAGCACCCCTGCTTCCCCTACTCATCCTATCCCCTTGTGGTAGTTAACTACTGCTGTGACAAAAAAATACCACATGTGGGTGCCTTTAAAGAACAGAAATTTATTTTCTCAGAGTACAGGAGGCCAGAAGTCCGAATTCAGAGCATTGCTCTAGGGGGAGGTCCTTCTTTGTCAGTAGCCTCAGGAGTTCCTTGTCATTCTTTAGCTTTCCTTGGCATCTGTCTTTCCCCAGTGTGTATGTCTGTGTCTCTTCTGTTCTTTTCATAACTCAGAAGTGATTAGGTTTAGGACCCACCCTACTCGGGAATGATCTAACTAACATAACACAGACAACCCTATTCCATGTAAGACCACATCCACAGATATATGGGCCAGGACCTCAGTACGTATCTTGGGGGTACACAATTCAATCACAATACCGTACCCCTTGACTTGCCACAATGAATGGGTGGTTTGCAGTATGGTTCTAGTTTCTTCCACAAAGGCCCTAATGAATTGTTTCTTCTCTAAATTCTTCTAGTTAATATACACTGTTAAGTGCTTGGATATGAGTTATTACTATTATTTTTTTAATTAACTTTGAGCTTTAAAGGCCAGTGAGCCAGGGATGACTGCAGGTGGAGGAAAATAATCAGTTCACTGCTTCCCTAACTTACAACCCTGGGAGCCATAGCCACTGGGCCTTTCTATAGGCATTTCTTGTCTTTTTCTATAGAATCATAGGAGGTTGGAGCTAGGTCATTTTGATAGTAAGTTCTTAACCAACCAACCAACCAACCATTTGCTGTCAAGTCAATTCAGACTCATGGTGACCTCATGTGTGTCAAAGTAGAACGGTGTGCTCCATAGTGTTTTCAATGGCTGTGACCTTTTGGAAGTAGGTTTCCAGGCCTTTCTTCTGAGGCACCTCTGGTGAACTCGAACTGCCAACCTTTTGGTTAGTAGCCGAGCACTTAACCTTAATTGTGTGCCACTAAGGGACCCCTAGAGGCCGTATTTTTTTTTTTTCCATGTATTTCTCAGCACCAAGCACTTAATAAATCCTTGAATCTCCTGACAAGTTAGGAAGATGTCATTTCGAGGGACCGTCCATGTAAAGAAGAGTGTGTAGAATACGGGGCTGATGAACTCAAAAGCTTTGCTGTTGGCGTGACAGAACCAGCTTAGCTTACTCTGTGCGACAAAGAGACTACCTGTGAATTCATCAGTTACATCAGGGCCAGGTCAGAGCATGTGAGTGGGCCAGTCCAGTCCTCCACTGGAGTAGAGATCAGATGGTCAGCACAGCAGAATGGCTGTAGAATACTGATCAGCAACTTAAGTACATTAAAAGGATGTTGTAGAAATCTCTAGGTAGATTTTTTATCACACAAAGAAATTTTCGTATCTAAACCACTGGATTTACATGACCTCAGTTTCCCGTGTTTGCTCCATCCCTGGCGTCTCCTCAGTTTTCATCCAAATCAAGGTCAGGATAAAGAGGAGATTTGAATGGAAGTAAGCTGGATATTCAGGCTCCTGCAGTAATGCTCAATTATTGAATTCTCTGGAAGCACCAACTCCTCTGTAATGATGTCCTCAGTTTTTAGATATCTTTATAAATCAGGTGATTTAGTATTGGCAACAGCCAGCTTGCTGTTTCCTGCTTTCTTATAGAAATAAGATGGTAAAATCTCGGGAGCTAGCTAGAGTTGTTAAAAGATAATCTTAAGCGTTTTCCTGCACATTATTCTTCATGCAACTTTGAGCATTAAAAAGCCCAAAAGTGGAACAGGGAAGGAGGCAGATGGAAGAGAAACCAGCTTGCTGCCACCGTCCTGCAGCTGAGAGACCACAGCTCAGACCACTGTTGTCCTGGGCAACTCAGGCCACAGCTGCCAGAGCTGGGAGTCAAGGCTGCAGGGAAAGTCATAGCTGAGATGTGTCGTTCTCGCTTACTCTGAGTATGTTGTTGTTGTTAGCTACCATTGATTCATGGTGACCCCATGCACGGTGGAATGAAATGCGGCCTGGTCCTGTGCCATCCCCATGATTGGTTGCAGATTGGACCATTGTGATTCACAGAGTTTTCATTGGCTGATTTTTGGAAGCAGATCTCCAGGCTTTTCTTCCTGGTCCATCTTAGTCTGGAAGCTCCGCTGAAACCAGTTTAGCATCACTGTGGATTAAGTTGTGTCCCCCACAAATGTGTGCCGATTTGGCTAGGCCATGATTCCTAGTATTGTATGATTACCTACCATTTCATCATCCGATGTTATTTTCCTGTGTGTTATAAATCCTACCTCTATGATGTTAATGAGGCAGGATCAGAGGTAGTTATGTTAATGAGTCAGGACTCAAAATCAGTTGTATCTTGAGTCAGCCTCTTTTGAGATATAAAAGAGAGAAAAGAACAGAGACACAGGGGAACCTCTTTACTACCAAGCAAGAAGAGGCAGGAGCGCATGTCCTTTGGACGCAGGGTCCCTGTGCTGAGAAGCCCCTAGACCAGGGGTAGACTGATGACAAGGACCTTCCCCCAGAGCCAACAGAGAGAGAAAGCCTTCTCCAGGAGCTGGCACGCTGAATTTGGACTTCTAGCCTCCTAGACTGTGAGACAATAAATTTCTCTTTGTTAAAGCCATCCACTTAACGGTATTTCTGTTATAGAAGCACTAAATAACTAAGACGAGCATCATAGCAACACACAGGCCTCTGCTGATAGACGGGTGGTGGCTGCACTTGAGGTGCATTGGGCAGAAGTAGAACCTGCATCTTCTGCATGGAAGGCGGGAATTCTACCACTGAGTCACCACTGCCTCGTTTACCCTGAGTATATTGTTGTTGTTAATTGCCATTGAGTCAGTTCTGACTCCTGGTGACCCCATGTGTGCAGAGGAGAACTGCTCTGTAGGGTTTTCAAGGCTGTGATGTTTAGGAAGCAGATCACCAGGTCTCTCTTCCAGAGCACCTCCGGGTGGCTTCATACTGCCAGCCTTTCAGCTAGTAGTTGAGTTCTTAACCATATGTGGCACCCAGGGACTCACTCTGAGTATAGTGGGCCCCAAACAAAGTAAAACCAAAGAAAACATAAAACTTCATTTACATCAAGGTGCATAGTGTATGCTTGCTAGCTAACATTTGACACTATTTTGATGTTTGATGGTATTTTTATGCTGTAGTTCTTTTCTTCTTTGCTCCATTTCTCCTCCCCAATCATGTAGTATATCCCTGTACGTGCTATGCTATTTGTACCTCTGGCAATGAAATTCCAGTCAACAGAATGTTTCGTTGACATTCCTTCTTCTTGTTAACAGTATTGCTATCCTGCAGTACCAGAGAGCTTTGTTGACTGGTGAAGCCTTCAATGTATAAGCCTTCCGATGTCTTATTCCATGTGTGTTTACGTGTGTTGGTGTACGTGCGCACGTGCTGAACTTACAAATAGAGTATCCAGACCAATTTTGATTTTTTATTGTTGAAGGCGATTGATAGTACTTAACCAATATCATTTGCCATGTACTATTTTGGTGAAAGTAATTTATACTGGCTCTTGGTTTGGACGTAGTAACATTTGTGGCTAAGTGCTTTTGCTTTCTAACATTAATCTCCACCAATCCTTGATTTAGAATAGCCTACTTTCCACTTTAAGGGTATTTTACAAAGGCCGGCTTGGTGATGAAGTTTTTCACTGAATGTCTTAAAACAGTGAAAATGTTCCTCTGCAAATTCAGTAAGTGTCTTTGTGATATATTGATTTTTCTTATTTCCTTGCTTATCCTGTTTCCAGACTGTGGATGGTAACCTATCTGCAAAATGTTTTGTAGGGGATGGAAGGCAACATTTTAAGCCAAAAAATTGAAAACAGAGTTAGAAACAAGAGGCTGTGGGTTAAGGAGGAAGTCGAACAAGGTGATTTCTGGATATTAAGGATCTGGGGGTTGAAATGCTAAGAAAAGCAAGTTTGCATTTATAACAGGCACATGGTGTCAAGAATTGTTGACAGACCCCTTTGGTCTCATAATACATGGGCAGGAATTCTTTGCCGCAGAAATTCGTAAAATTACGAGCATGTCGCCACATACCCTTGAGTTATAAGCTATGACACTGAACCATATGAATTTGCCACTTGGTTTTGTTACCTGACAGATGATTTCAGAGCCCAGGAGGGAGCAGTGTCAGGCTGGCAACCAGGATGCTGTAGATAAGAATATTTATGTGGACAGTTTCTGCACTGTTAAATATGCAGGCTGTTTGTAATCAAAACCAACCTAATGGTTTTTAAAGATGTGTTTTCAGAGAGTCTAAATAATGTATAATTGGGGAAATGTTTTTTTTTTTTCTTTATTGTGTTTTAGATGAAGGTTTACAGAACTAGCTTCTCATTAAACAGTACACATATTATTTTATGACATTGGTTAACAACCCCATGACATGTCAGTACTCTCCCTTCTCGACCTTGGGTTCCCTATTACCAGCTTTCCTGTCCCTTCCTGCCTTCTAGTCCTTGCCTCTGGGCTGGTGTGCCCCTTTAGTCTCGTTTTGTCCTATGGATCTGTCTAATCTTTGGCTAAAAGGTGAACCTCTGGAGTGACTTCATTATTGAATTAAAAGGGTATCTGGGCCATACTCTCAGGGTTTCTCCAGTCTTTGTCAAGCTAGTAAGTCTAGTCTTTTTTTGAGTTAGAATTTTGTTCTACATTTTTCTAAAAGTCTGTCTGGGACCCACTATTGTGATCCCTGTCAGAGCAGTCTGTGGTGGTAGCTGGGCACCATCTAGTTGTACTGGTAATTGGAGAAATGTTTTGAGGCCATTTTGAGCGAATGTGTTTGGAGAAGGGGTTGTTGGGAGTAGAGGTGAGTGTAAATGAGATCAGATCGGCTTATGCTTGTTTCTGTTTTGTTTCAGCACATCAGGTCCACCCATCTGGCCGGGCAGCACCTTCTTTAAGAGAAACGGAGCCCTTCTGCAAGGTAGGTCTCTAGAGCACCCCCCTCCTTCCCACCACGCTTGATTCCTCCTTTGTGCTTGGTGTCCATCAGGGCAGTGTGCCCTGCTCAGCAGTGGGCACACTTCGGAGAAGTGAGTGCTGCGGGTTGGGTCTGTTGGTCCAGCTCTGTTTATTTCTTCCTAGTCAAGTCTCTTGATAGCTGTGGATTGTTAGTCTGAAACCAGGCTTCTAAGGATTGCATCTTTGGTCTGCTCTCACTGGTGCCATATTCCAGCGGTATTTGATTGCTTGGTGAAATTAGGATTACGTGGCAGTTAGGATGTGACAGTAGCGTAAATGGGTTGATAAAAGTAAACACCTTTACATGTTTCCAATGCTTGGGCTAACAAGGGACGTCTTAGGTGTCTGGCACTTTTTTCGTTGTGGAGGTACGCTTATTCCTTGCTATCTTTAATGTCCATGTGTGCCTGGAAGGTTGACTATGGTTTATCCTGCAAAGGGACACCCTGCCTGTTGCCTAGCCAGTCATCAGCTGCCTTGCACCATCCAAAGTGTTCAAGGAATATGAACTGCCTTTCATTTCTACTTTTAAAATCACAAAACTAAGTTAAAGAAAAACAAACTGTTAAAAATAGCAATAAGTTGCATTCTAAATACTTTTAGGACTTGTTTTTTGATTGTCTGCTGTTTTGGATATCTGCTGAGTGGAAAAGCTGGAACCGGCTGAGTCCCAAGGGTCTTCAAGCTCCTAACCCTTTTAGCCTCTGTTAATTGACTAGGAGTTGAGTGGCATGACTGGCCAAAAGCAAATGGATTTGGTTGTACCGAGAGCTTTAGAACTGTACTGGCTTATGGTGAAGGGTTTTTAGTGCATGTCGGTTGGTTTATTGATGTTAAGGGTCTTTTCCTTAAAAGTACATTCTGAGAACCAGCCACATGTGGGAGGAATGTAAGTCAGCTTTAGAAAGTGGACATTTATCTTCAGGTTTCAGGAGTGGCTCGAACAATCATAAGCAACTTCAGCACACTGTTGTTTTATAGGCCATGCAGTTACATATTGTCTTTTTGAATAGCCTGTGAAAAACTTAAGAATTTCCTTGCATTTTTTGCTTGGCACAGGTGAAATTTAGGCAGTTTGATTAATCCTAATTTTAATGAGCACAGTTGCTATCCTGAATGTTTAAAAAAATAATAAGGACTCCCTCCACTCTCAAAAATTAATACATAATTTTAAAAAAATGTGTTCTGTTCTCCCTTCCAGTAGTATAAATAGGAACTGATTATGCTGAGGCTTTGGCTTTTTCAAGTGAATCGCAAAATTATGAACATCTTTGTTTTTACTCTAGAACTATAGCAATGATGTGAATATCATTCAAGTTGGGATTATTTTCAGAAAAGGAATTTTGTTTTCTTAGAGCCTTTTCTTACAGGAAAAAATCCTATATTCATTCAATTCCACATTAGGTACCATTGCTCTAAGCATATTAGTTTTGTTTGTTTCTTTCTTTCTGCAGGACAGCAGCATAAGGGAAACATCAGTAAGGTTTCTGAAGTTGGGTGATTGCACTATGAGATTCTGTCTCATGGGTGGGAGACTTTTTTCTCCTGATGGGGGTTAAAAATTCCCCTAATTACTCTAGGTTTTGAGAATTAAACTATTACAGATGCTCATTGAATCCACATCCAATTAAATACAACCCATTAGTTTTTTGTACATTTGAAAATGAGGAGAATCTTGGTGAGAGTTTGGGAGTGTGGGTGGGGACTTAGGAAGATGAATTTTTCTCTGTAATGTTTCTTCATTTGCTCTATCTGTATCTGTAGTTCCTGAAACACTTCTTGTGATAAGATTTTTTGAAATATGTGCATGTTCTTCTTAATGAATACTTTTGAATTCCTTTTGTGAGTGGTGGTGGGTCATCAAGAAGTTTTTAATGCCTTCAAGCAAGAGTATTACAAATAAAGATATGAGTATAAAGAAGGAACTGGCCCATTCACGCCAGTGAAAGTTTCAGGGTTAGAATAACGTAGAAGAAAATATACCTGATCTATGCTTATTTTCTCATCTTTATACCTTACAACTTCGAAATATGCATGCATTCCTTCTTTTCCTCTCTAGAAAGGGGAGGAAATATTCTAGGTAATCAGACTAGGGAAGAACTCTGTTAATAGGTTCCAGCCACAGGGACTGAGGTTGAGGGCCAGCAGGACATTAGCCCCAAAAGAACCCAGTGCCTAGAACTTGGAGTGATACAGGAGCCTCTGTAAGATGTTGGGCCCTAGGGACTGGCCAGCAGAGGTCCAGCCTGACCATGGGCCCCAAGTCACAAGCAGGACTGGCTGACCTGGGCTATAGGTGGTGGGAGAGAACCTGCTGCATGGACTGGCCCCAGAGGTTGAGATTTAAAGAAGGCAAGAGGAGGGAGACTTCCCTTTGTCTGGACCATGAGAGCATAGAGCCTGTCACTTCTTGGGAGAATGGACACTTGAACCAGGCCTTGTCAAATAGGTCGATGTGTGTGTGTGGAAATAGGAAAAAAGGGCAGCCTAAGAAGAGGGAGCCACAGGAGCCCACAGACAAGAGAGGGCAGGATCCCAGCGAGCATAGTGACTGGGGCTTTATGTGGTAGGTGTGGAGAATGAGTGATTCATAAACACTTTTGAATAACCGTGTCACATGCCCAGAGACGTGCGGTGAGAAAAATAATGTGCTGTCCAAGGAGGAAGTAATGGAAGGCAAAACCTGCAGTGAGTGGGACAAAATGGCAGAGGCGTTACCATGGAGAGCCAGTTTATGTTGTCTAGTGGTTGTTTGGTTTCTAAGCTGGCGGACAGACACGTCGGATGTTTATTTTCCCGGTACCAAACCAATTGCAACAATTAACTGGAGGTACTCCAAGTCCTCCTTGGCCCTAAGAGCATGGCGTCTGCATTTTGGTTCTTGTAGAACTCCCTACAGAATCGCCTCTCAGTTTTGAGGATAATGGGGTAAAATTTGGTTTGGATTACACCAGGTAGGGGTACTTAACGTAATTGGTCGTTTCATGAATTCACAGTATTTATTTTAAATGCCATTTAGGCTGCTAGAGACAATTTGAGTATTTTAGCAGTTTCAGTAGACCAGAGAGCACTTCAATTCTTGTACAATACAAACCCAGCAGAGCGCCAGAAGCGGACAAGCCCTTTGCTTAAAGGGGGCCCAGGACAGGCCCGCACAGAAGTGTGGCTTATTCGGAGACTTGCAGGAGTGGCCACCTGGCAGGTGTCCCCGACTGTCCTGTCTGTGTGTATCTGTATGGCTCTTATGTTATTGCCTCTCTGTACGTGAAGTGCATTTGTATGAGTGTAATAATTTAATTAGCTTAATAATGTTTTTGATTTTCTTAACCGAAAAACAGAGTAAAGCATCTTGTTTTCCCTTTCCAAACTCCCTATCTCGCCCCTTCCATTCCATTCACCCTTCAAACTTTGAACTAGGTTACTTCGTTGAAACATCACCCTCGGATGAATTATTTTAATGAGTCAATGATTCATAATTAAAGACATTCCTCACCCCTGGCCTGACCGTTCCTCCGGTCCCTGATGATTTCTTCCCAGAATGACATATCACATCTCTTTTCTTGTTAGCTTCCTGCCTTCTGTGAAAAGTTGCTACAAGCTACAGCTGAACTTACCTTCCACTGCTGCTCTTTTGATCTTTGCAGGCCCCGCAGGCCTCCGAGCTCCCCAGAGAGTTCTGTTCAGAGAGAAGCTGCTGCCTTTACACCTCCACACCGCTGACCATTTTGGCCAGCTAGCTCCTATATTTCCAGCTCTTTCTCTGAGCACATATTCCCTGGGCCCACCTGCAGTACCCCACCTGTAAACCCAAAACCAGTTGCCATTGAGTAGGTTCCAACTCACATGTGTCAGAATAGAACTGTGCTCCTGTAGGGTTTTCAGTGGCAGCTTTTACAGAAGTAGTTTCCTGACCTTTCTTCCAAGGTGCTTCTGGGTGGACTCCAACCGCCAGCCTTTTGGTCAGCTTCTGAGCACTTAACTGTTGGCAACACCCAGGGACTCCACTCCACCAGTGAGCTTTCATTTGTTATGCGTGTCTGTGTGTCGGGCACTGGAGTTACCCAGGGAGGCTGAGGTCCTGCCCTCACCACTTACAGCCTACCCTGGGGTCAGACAACATGCCCTGGGCTCTTCTTTTAAAAGGCTGCTCCAGCTGCCTTCTCTAAGACGCTTACCGCCATCAGCGCTGATGCAGCTACTGCTTACTGCAGACCTTCCCAATTACTGACTTGACACCTGCCGCATCCTTCCCAACCTGCTCTCCCGCCTCTCTTTTTTCCATCACTCTAACATGGGCCACTAATTGTTATTAAATCTGTTTCCATAGAATGCAGCAGTGGAATTAAAGTAAGTTCTATAACATGCATAACAGAATTTTATTTCCATTCGCTCTGACAAGCCACTGGACGAGCTAATGACGTGGAAAGAAATCCTTTGAAGGTGTTTTCAGGGCACAGAGCAGGGCTGTGCTGCTGCAGGCCCGAAAACAAATAGGAAAAAGGAAACCGGCTCTTCTGCAGTCAGATGTGTGTCGTTCCTGTGTGCTCACACATGTGCTCGCTGCTGGGGAATGTGCATCTCGAAGTCGATTATGATCATTAGATGACGTGCTTTGGGGAATGTCAGTTTCCCAAGTTCTAGGTTGGCTTCATGGAGGTCTTTTCCTGGGAGTGACACTGTGTTCCACCCACTCTCCACACCCCTTGCTGCCCTCCCATAACTCTGTTAGGTATTTTTATAACTAAAATGTAGGCAATATCTCACTTTGGTTGTTTTCATACCATAAAAGGCTCAAGAGAAAGCAGGCACTGTATCAGGAACAAGTTATAGCAGATGGAGGAGCACCGAATTAAAAGTCAGGGGACTTGGGTTCTGGTCCCAGCCCTGCCAGTGAACAAACTTTGTGACTTTGGTCAAGCCACATAGCACCTCTGGGGCTTTGTTCTCTTACCTGTAAATGAA